ATGAAAACAGTAACTTGCCATCTAGAGACACCAATCTGAGCACAGTGTCCTAGCACACGTGACCTTAAAAAGCCAGGAGAAATAGTGTAAAGCTTTACCCAGTCTCTCCTATGGAGGTGCTGATGGGGGATGTTGAAGCAGGTGTACCAAGGGGAAGTCCTAGAACACTAGAGCAATATGGATTTGCGGATGTTTTGCTGTGTTTTCATGGTGAACACTCCCCCACAGTCCCCAGAGATGGTAACAGGACAATGACTCCTGTTATTTGCCTTGCCTTAGCCCTCTGTGCTCATTGTCCCTAACATCCATTCTCCCCTTATTTGCTATAACTGGGATTCTGGGTTTGGCATATGGTGGTTCTACTGACTACATTTCCCAGACCCCTTTGCATGAATGCATCATTGTGACCACATTCTGGCCAGCAGGGTGCCTAGAACTGATACATGTAACTTCCAGGCTGTGGCCCTGCAGGGAAGGAGTGTTCCCTTCTCTTCCCCTTTCCTCCTCCTTTAGAATGTGGGGGCGGGAGCAGTCGTCTTGCACTATGGGATGGAGGCTGTGCTGAGAAAGCTAAGGCCACAGAAGGGAAGGAAACTGGGTCTCTGATGACGCTGGGATTCCCAGACAACCTGCCTGGATGTCTCTGTAAGAAAATTAAATTTCCATCTTGTTAAATAGAAGTTTCCCTGTTAGAGCAACCAAACCTACATCCTAACTAATACACCTTCATACGTGCGTTTATGCTCAGTTCTCACTGGCTTTGCCCTTGCTCTGGTCTTTGATGTCCTGGCCTGGTGTCTGTGAATGCCTCATCACACAGGTGGCTGACCCACTCCCATTACCACCCTTCCCTGGCCAGGCCTGGGCATGGAGACCCTTTCCTTTTACCTTAGTGCCCCTCTAGCTCAATCAGGAAGAAGAGCCGATGAAGCATCTTATTAAAAGTGATTAAGGCTAGGCACAGTGCTCACGCCTGTACTCCTGGCACTTTAGGAGGCCAGATGGCTTGAGCCCAGGAGTTTGAGACCAGCCTGGACAACATGGTAAAACCCTGTATCTAAAAAAAATTTAACAATTATCTGGGTGTGGTGGCACATGCCTATAGTCCCAGCTACTCGGGAGGCTGAGGCAGGAGGATCACTTGACTCAAGGAGGTGGAGGTTATAGTGAGCCATGACCAAGCCACTGCACTCCAGCCTGGGTGACAGAGTGAAACCCTGTCTCAAAAAATAAATAAATAAATAAATAAATAAAAGTGATTAATAAACCTTAAAGAAACAATGGTTTAAAAGCTGAAAAGATTCCATTCTAGAATTTTTTAATCAAACCCTATTATTGGTTATTTAAGTTTGTTTCCAAATATTCACCATTACAAAAACTAACAAGGCATGATGGGAGGAAAATGGGCTGAGAGGCAGATGGGACTGTGACCTCTGCTCCGACCACTCACCATCTGGGCGATTTTGGACAAGGCATTTTTCCTCCCTGGCCTTCCGTTTTCTCCTTTGTAAAATAAACACTATAATACCCATCTCTCTGATTTGTCATGGAGATTAGAGACCATTACATAAATCAACTACACAGTAGCAATCACAGCGGGCTCGATACACAGCACTTATCAGCAGAGGAGTGATTATGTGCTTTTGTGCATATTACTATTTCTAGGTACCAGATTTTTGAAATGATAAAACTCCTGAGGTAGGAGATTACTGGTTCAAAGGATAGAACTTCTTCAGATTCTTAATATACACTTGATAGGAATTATGTACATTTTTGCAGATGAAGAAACCGAGGCTCAGAGGAGTTAAGACATTCATTTTGGGTCGCAGGGCTCATTAATAGTAGAGATCAGATTAAACCCATATTTTCTAACTTTTAATCTTGAGTAATTTCTACTGTAAGTCACAGACCTAGAACTATAATCCTTCCAGTACAGGAAACTGAATTAAAACCCTTCATAAAAATCAGATGGGTGTAATGGATCACATCTGGAATCCCAGTATTTTGGGGGGCTGAAATAGAAAGATTGCTTGAGGCTGGGAGTTTGAGACCAGCCTGAGCAACATCTTGTCTCTACAAATAATAATTAAAATTGTGTGTGTGTGTGTGTGTGTGTATTAGCTGGGTGCAATAGCTCACACCTATAGTCCTAGCTACTGAGGCAAGAGGATCACTGGAGGTTGCAGTGAGCTATAATCTGCTCTCCACTTCTGCCTGGGGAAGAAAGTGAGATCTTGTCTCTGTAAAACAGGCAGGGAGCGGTGGCTCATGCCTATAACCCAGCACTTTGGGAGGCCAAAGTGGGAGGATCACGAGGTCAGGAGTTCAAGACCAGCTTAGCCAACATGGTGAAACCAGGTCTCTACTAAAAATACAAAAATTAGCTACGCTAATTACCTGTAATCCCAGCTACTCAGGAGGCTGAGGCAGGAGAATCACTTGAACTGGGACCCGGCAGGCGGAGGTTGCAGTGAGCTGAGATCAGGCCACTGCACTATAGAGTGAGAGATTCTGTCTCAAAAACAAAACAAAACAAAAAACAACAAATAATAAAAAACATTTTGTGGAAATCAGCTGTGTTTGTGCCCACTTCTTTCTAATACTGTTGTTTCATTCTGACCTGTGCTTCCTCCAATGAGCTTTATGGATGTTCAATAAGGAAGGGCGTGGAAAGAAGCTCCCAGCTGCAGGGAGTCCGGAGGCCTGGGATTTCTTCCCAGCCTTCTTATCTACTCTTCATGTTCTCCTGGCAGAAAAGTCAACTTATCTGGGTCACAGGTAACTTATCTGTAAAGTGAGAACTCTGGGTGATACCAACCTAAGGCCACTTCTTGTTTAAAGTTCCATCACTGAGTAGAGTCAGGTAGACAAATCTGAGGAATCCAGACTGAAACTGACTTCCTGCATGCCTGCTACTAAATATTAGGCCACAGCAAAATGAATTGTTGCAAAGATATATACATTTATTTGTTTTCTTTCGAATTTTTATTTTATTTATTTATTTTTGTGACAGGGTCTCACTCTTTTGCCCAGGCTGGAGTGCAGTGGCACAATTACGGCTCAGTGCAGCCTCAACCTCCTGGGCTCAAGCCATCCTCCCACCTCAGACTCCTGAGTAGCAGGGACTATGGGAGTGCATTACCACAGTTGGTTGATTTTTTGATGTTTTAAATATGTGTGTGTGTGTGTGTGTGTGTGTGTGTGTGTTTGTGTGTATTAGCTAGGTGCAATAGCTCACAGACGAAGTCTCGCTATGTGGCCCAGGCTGGTCTTGAACCCTGGAGCTCAAGTGATCCTCCTGCCTCAGCCTCCCAAAGTGCTGAGATTACAGGTGTGAAAAACTGTCCGTGGCTCCAAACTCTTTATACATCAGAAACACTCCTCATGTATGCAGCATCCCATAAATGTTTAGGAGAAGGTAGGCTGAAAATTGAAGCTGGGTCTACTCAAGAGTTTCGCGGGTAAGAGAAGCATGTATTTGTATGGCGAAGGGCTGGAGGGAAATGAAGAAAGAAGCGCTTGATTTGGGGAAATGGTATAAAAGTAGAATTTGTCAGGTTTTTGTTAAAGTGATGAGGTCTTGCTCTGTCACCCAGGCTGGAGTGTAGTGGCGCCATCACAGTTCACTGCAGCCTCAAACTCCTGGGCTCAAGGGATCCTCCTGCCTCAGCCTCCTGGGAAGCTGGGAATATAGGAGTGCACCACCACCCTTGGCTAATTGGTTTTATTTTTTGTAGAGACAGGGTCTTGCTGTGTTTCCCAAGCTGGTCCCAAACTCCTGGCTTCAAGCCCTCCTTCCATCTCCAACTCCTAAAGTGCCGTGATTTCAGGTGTGAGCCATCACACCCAGCCCCGTTTGTCTTTTAAATTTTCCTGAATGTTGTTTATGCAGTAACATCACCACCATCATCAACGACAATCAGACTTCTTAAGATGCCCCTGGTGAATTCTGGCTTTGAGAACTTTGCTCGGAGGACTTTAAAAGAGGACAATCTTATGTTTGACTTGGCATGGGTAACCGTAATAGATGCAACCAGCCTTGTGGCAGGGCTGGTTGGGTGTCTTTGAAATTGGCCAGAATCTACAAATGGGCAGATTCCTAAACATAGCTTTTTTTTTTTTTTGGAGATGGAGTTTCGCTCTTGTTGCCCAGGCTGGAGTGCAGTGGTGTGACCTTGGCTCACTGCAACCTCCGCCTCCCAGGTTCAAGCAATTCTCCTGCTTCAGCCTCCCAAGTAGCTGGGATTACAGGCATGCACTACCATACCTGGCTAGTTGTTTTTTTTTTTTTTTTTTAGTAGAGACAGGATTTCACTATGTTGGTCAGGCTGGTCTTGAACTCCCGACCTCAGGTGATCCATCCACCTCAGCCTCCCAAAGTGCTGGGATTACAGGTGTGAGCCACTGTGCCCAGACTGCACATAGTATATTTAATAATTTGTTGCACAAATAAGTGCTTGAAAGGTAGCAGCAGGGGACTGCCTGAGCCCTCTGTTTCAGCATATACCTGCTTGCTCCAACCTTTCCTTCACTCTCGTCTTACCCTTTGCACCCACTTGAAAAGAGAGGCCCTGTGTCCTCTTCCTTATTACTCTGAAAGTGGAGGGCAGCTTGGGATCCATAGCTCTCATCCATGGGTGATTTTACCTTCCAGAAGGGATATTTATCAAAGTCTGAAGACAGTTTTCCTTGAAATAAACAAAGCATCTAGTGTCAAGGCGAGGGGTGCTACCAAACAGCCTCAGATGCACAGGGTAGCCCCCGTAGCCAAGAGTCATCCAGCCCCAAGTGTCAATAGTGCCAAGGTCGAGAAACCATACTTTAGAGATAAGAGAAGCAAAGACAGGGTGGAGGCGTCTAGCCGGGTCCCCTGTGCCAGGCCGTTGTTTGCAAAGGGCACAGAAAGTGAGCAGGGGTGGGGGCTGGTCCTGAGGCTCTGCCCCAGTGATGTCATTAGTGCCCTTCCTGGAAGAGCTTCACCTGGATGGAGACTGACCTGATAGCAGTTGGCTCCACCTGTGGACGCAGGGAGTTGGACTTTGTCCCAAAACTGTGCCTGTGACATGCATTCCTACATTCACAAGACTTCTTCATGCCAATCGCCCTTTCTATAAAGTCTGTTTCTCACTGCAGCAAGCTTCCTGCAAAACCAGTTTCTCAAACTTGCCGTCACAAGAGGCGTGGTGGCATAGCTCTGCGGCTTCTGAGTTCCCTCTTCCTTGATTACACAAACTCCAAGGCACTCAAGGATGTTCTAGACAAGGAGGCCAAGCCCTGGGGAAGGGGAAACTGACAGCAGCAAGGTATGAGAAGAGAAGCTATCAGAAATGACCATGAAATAGTCAGACTTTTATAAGGAAGTGCAGCTAGGATCTGCACGAACTCCACCCAAAGGATGATGGTGGCGCAATGTGTTTGCGAGTTGGGTTCTGAGAGTTGGCTTGGAGCAGTGAAAAGGGAAAGGTGAAGAAAAAGGAATTGGTCAGAAACACGGAAATCAGAGACGAAAGATAAACAGTATCTGTCTCTCGATAGTGGAGAATGGGAACTCATTAGCTGACCATGCTTGGTAACAATATTTCTTCCAACAGCTGGCTTCTTTTATTTTAATTTCATATTCACGGTGCAACTCCAACCCGAATGTATTTTTTCAAGGTGACTGACCTGCTAAAATGAAGATTTGGCTGCTTTCACTGTAAGTGGGTAAGTGAGCGTGTTGGTTTTGTTGAGACCTGCCCATGGAAGAGGTCTGTGCACCCTTGAGTAGGTCTGAACGGCGGCATCTCTAACGCTAAGCATTCCGGAAACTGAGCTGGAGGCCTTTGGCAACCTCCACAGCAACAAGATGAGGGGCCATGTTGCTTCTGGAAGAGTCTTTCAGAAACCAGGTGTTAAAAACGGGTTTCAGCAGGCATGGGTCTTTCTGTGCACAGACCTGTACACCAGAGTGCTGCTCCCTGAAGACACGGTCCTTGTCTGACCCTTCATGGCTGACACTGTTGATGGAGAGAGGATAGAAACAAACAGAAACACCTGACTGTTTGTCTCCCCTTTCCCACAGAAGGATTTTGTCCTCCCATTAGTCCAGCTGAGGACATAATCTTTTTTCTTTTTTTTTTTGGGACAGAGTCTCACTATCATCCAGGCTAGAGTGCAATGGTGCAATCTCGGCTCACTGCAACCTCTGCCTCCCGGGTTCAAGCAATTCTCCTGCCTCAACCTCCTGAATACCTGGGACTAAAGGTGCGTGTCACCATGCCTTGCTAATTTTTTGTATATGTATATATTTTTTAGTAGGGACGGGGTTTCACTGTGTTAGCCAGGAAGGTCTCGATCTCCTGACCTTGTGATCTGCCCGCCTCGGGCTCCCAAAGTGCTGAGCCACCTTGCCTAGCCAGAGGACATAATATTATTGGTTAAGCAAGACAGTAGAGTACCAGGTTAGGAAAAAGGGAGGGCCTTTTAAATCATAGGAATGGGTCGAGTAGATGGGCCCGATCAGATCAGTAGATATAAAAGTTTTTTCCAGGGTAAAACAGATTAAAGATTCTCAAAAGCAGGAATCTCCAGCGCAATTGTCAAGGCCCATGTGGTGAGCAGGGTGGGGCCAGACGCCTGTAAAACAAAGGTTAAGGAGGCACCTCTCTCAGGGGCCTGCAAGGCACAGCCTCCTTCACTCCTGTGCCCGTGGCGCTTGTCTCACCCAAGACCCTTCCCTGGTGGTTTGGGCCTTCTTCTTCCAGCTGCTGCAGCCACTGGCTTCTGGAACGTTTTCAGTCTTCAGTCTTGCTCCAGACTTTGCCTTTGCTCTGCGGTCTGCACCTGCTCAGATCCTGGTCCAGGTCTCCACTCGGGAGCCCTCACTTGACTCAGTCACATCCATTGCCTGGAGAGCTTCAACAGATTCAACGTAAAGGTCCCAATGCAGGGAAATGACTGCGTGTCTCCTTGATGGAATGCTGTATTTCTTCTGCCAGAGCCCAGACCTTCATCTGACATCAACAAAACCAGAGGAAGAGTTTGAGCTGGGTCGGCTAGGAAAATACCACCTGCGCTGAGACATTATTAGGACGCATGAAAGCCCTGTAAAGGCCAAATTACAGCGCAGAGCCCGTGTGGCAACAAGGAAATATGCTTATGGTGAAATGTTTCCGGAAAACAGGATTGGAATGTACACGATGCCAAGATTACAGCCCTCACAAGAAGGTTTCTCAAAGACAGTTCTCCTAGAAGGATCTAGGTCTCCAGAACTTTTGGGGCTAGAGCCCAGGAATCTGAGCTTTAAATGAGGTTTCCAGGAGGTCCTTCTGAACTCTATAGAATGAGGTCAGTCATGTAAAGAACTGTGTGCTCCAAGAACAGAGAATCAAACACCGCATGTTCTCACACATAGGCGGGTATCGAACAATGAGAACACATGGACAGAGGGAGGGGAGCATCACACACTGGGGTCAGTTTGGGGGCTAGGGGAGGGACAGCAGGTGGTAGGGAGGTTGGGGAGAGATAACATGGGGAGAAATGCCAGATATAGGTTACTGGTGGATGGAGGCAGCAAACCACCTTGCCATGTATGTACCTATGCAGCAATGCCGCATGATCTGCACATGTACCCCAGAACCTAAAGTACAGTTAAAAAAAATAAACAAAACAAAACTGTGTGCTCAAGGCATCGTACTGCAGCAAAGAATTGTGGCCAGATTCAGTGGGACTCTTCATGGATTTTTCTTAACCCACAATTTTCATTACAGCTATTTTACCTGTACAAATAAAGTATTTTACTTTTATAATAAAACAAAATACATGAAAATAAAATCAAAATAAAAAACTTAAAACACATCAATGAAAAGGAGAGAAGATGAATTAGATGGAGGAGGGCCTGGAGGTAGAGGCACAGGTCAGCAGCCACTGACTGGCCCAGGCGAGAGAGGATGGAGACAGGACCTTTGCAAGGCAGGTGTAGACAGACAGGACCCTTCCACCCAGACTTAGGAAACTCAGGTTTGATGCCAGCTCCGGGTTGCTAGCTGTTAACCTGGCGTAAGACAGTGAGCTTCAGGATGCTGCGAAGTCCAAATCTCATGATTATTGATGTTGAGCACCTTCGTGGACCGGTCCCTGTTCTGAGGGCTTCACATATCATGCAGTTATCACAGAAGCTCTTTGATGTAGAGACTAACATTATCCCACTTTTTCAGATGAGAAAATAGAGAAACAGAGAGGGTAAGTAACTTGCCCAATGACACTCAGCGACGAAGCGAGAGCTGGGAAGTAGCGACGGACGTACGCGGTGATGTGTACCGCTCCATATGCTGGGGGCGGCATTTTTCTATCTCCTAAACCTGGCAGAGTAATCCCTTTAATTAGAAGAAACCTTTAGATTCTCAGTGGCTTCACACATTGCCCCGTTTCTAAAGTGTCTCTCTCTCCCCCGCTCCCTCCTTCCCTTCCCCCCTCTCTCCCTCCCTTCCTCCCTCCACTCTCTCCGCCCAGCCCCTCCAACCTGAGATGGAGGCCCTCAACTGGGAAAACAAGCTCCTTCTTGGCAAGTGTTGTGGAGGGAAGCCCAGTAGAGGTCAGCCTTCTCACAGTACATCTGCCTTGGGACCCGGAGGTGTCACCTGCACTTCGAGCTCCAGGAACTGGCTCCTTCCCTATCAGTAGATCTGGGTTCAAGTCTCAGCCCTGCCACCTACTGGCCACGGGATTGCCTGCAACATATTTAACCCACGGGTTTTCCACCAGGCTGTGTCTGGGGATTATCAGTGATTGGCATTTAAAAGCCCTCTAGGTGGCGCAGTGGCTTATGCCGGTAATCCTAGCACTTTGGGAGGCCGAGGTGTGCGGGTCACGAGGTTAATAGATCGAGACCATCCTGGTCAACATGGCGAAACCCTGTTTCTACTAAAAATACAAAAATTTAGCCGGGCTCTTGAGCCCAGGAGGTGGAGGTTGTGGTGAGCCGAGATCATGCTATTGCACTCCAGCCTGGGCAAGAAGAGCAAAACTCTGTCTCAAAAGAAGAAAAAAAGCCCTCCAGGTGACTCGTGGCTGACCTCTCCAAAGCTTTTGGTTCCTTACGTGTAAAATGGAGAGATCCACTCTTAACCAAAAGTTATTCATTGAGCACCTTAATTTTTTTGGACATCAGAAAACAAATTCAGTACTATGTATCCCCTATGTTACAGTTAGTTTGTGATTAGTGGCAAACTAGACCCAAACCCAGCTGACAGCAGCCATTCCACAGCCCTCCATCACCAGATATCCCAGCTGATCCCACTGCCGACCAGCTCTTCCACCATCCCACGGTTCTCCTCCAACAGATATCCCAGCTCATCCCACTGCCGACCAGCTCTTCACCATCCCACAGCTCTCCAGTAACAGATATCCCAGCTGACCCGGCCAGCTCCTCCACCATCCCATGACTCTCCACCAACAGATATCCCAGCTGATCCCACTGCGGGCCAGCTCTTCCACCATCCCACAGCTCTCCAGTAACAGATGTTTTCCACACATGGTTGTTCAGAGGATCAACCAAGAAACTCCAAGTACCTTGTCTGGAGCATGAGTCAGTAGCAGTAATATACTTAATCATTAACTTGAGATTAGAACATTAGAATTCTAATGAACATCTTTCCAGGTATCTTGCAGCTCACTATATAGTCACATTCCTATATATATAAGGGGCTCAGGGCATATATATATATATATATATATATACACACACACACACATACACATACATATGTATATATGAGAAAATAAAAACAAAATAAATCAAAATTAAAATACGTATCACCAGTCGTGGTGGCTCACACCTCCAATCCCAGCACTTTGGGAGGCTGAGGTGGGTGGATTACCTGAGGTCAGGAATTTGAGACCAGCCTGGCCAATATGGTGAAACGCTGTCTCCACTGAAAATACAAAAATTAGCTGGGCATGGTGGTGCATGCCTGTAATCCCAGCTACTTGGGAGGCTGAGGCAGAATTGCTTGAACTGGGGGAGGTGGAAGTTGCAGTGAGCTGAGATTGTGCTACTGCACTCTGGCCTGGGTTGCAGAGTGAGATTCCATCTCAAAACAAAAAACAAAAAACCAAAAAAACAACATATCAATAAAAAGGAGGCTAGATGAACTGGATGGAGAAGGGCCAGGGGACAGGGACACAGGAAGGCAGCCACTGACTGGCCCAGGTGAGAGAGGATGAAGAGAGGATTTTGCAGTGCAGGTTTAGGAGGCCTGGGACCCCTCCTTCTAAGACAAGGTGATGTGTTCCCTTTCAATGATTACTGGATGCATAAAATTTAAAATTAGAGCCCTCTGTGGTGGTGGGTGCCTATAATCCCAGCTACTTGGGAGGCTGAGGCACAAGAATTGCCTGAACCGGAGAGATTGCCGTGAGCCAAGATTAAGCCATTGCACTCCAGCCTGGGTGACAGAGTAAGACTCCATCTCGAAAAAAATAAATAAAATTAAGACTCTTACCCCTAGTCCTGGATTTCCTGGATCCACTTTCTCAGCCAGGTCAGCGTCAGGTGGTCCTGGGGATTGCTACAACGTGGTCTGTTTGCTGGAGTGGAGGAAGATGATGGCTTCCAGTGGAGCAGCCAGGTTTGGAAGTGGTGGGGCGCAAGATGGCTTGAGCCATGTCCCCTTTGTCTCCCTGAAGGTCCCGTTTCAGGAAATCTTTGATTCTTGTTTTGAGTCAAAGTATTTGAATGACTTCCTGATACAGTCCCCAAATTCAGGGCTTTGGCTCCAGAGAGCCAACTGAGGGCTGTGTACTCTCAGGGTGACGATCTGAACCACAGGATGTCAGCAAAGCCTTCCTGGAAATCCCTGCCCCCTTCCCCTCTCCATATCAGAAACACCTGGAGACTCGTTAAAGCACAGGTGGGCGGGTTCACGCACAGTGTTTCTGATTCAACACAGCTGCGACTGTGCCTGAGCAGGCGCATTTCTAACTTGTTCTCAGAGGCTGCTGATGCTGCTGGTCCAGGGGCCACACTTTGAAAAGCACTGGACTAGAGAGAGCCGGCATCATCACCTGAGTCTCGTGAGGCTGCTGCTTGGGGATTTTAAGTGACTTTGAGGCAGCAGGCCTGACCTGCTCCGTGAACTCTCTTCACATTGGAGGATGGAAGACCGCAGGGAGAAGAAGGAGGCAGCAAGTCTGGGCAAATCCAGGACCAGGAGTGTAGAAACTCACACTTGAGGCTGGACAGGGACAGTCTAGAGCTACTGTTTTTTGTTTATTTGTTTGTTTTTTAAGAGACAGGAGTCTCACTATGTTGCCCAGGCTGGTCTTAAACTCCTGAGCTCAAGCTATGCTCCCACTTCAGCCTCCCAAGCACATGGGACTACAGGCATGTGTCGCCATATTGGCTCAGTTACAGAAGGCTTACATGCTAGGATTGAAGACCAAAGACCAGGGATAAGCCTTGAATGCCAAGAAAGTCTAAACAATAACAGCAGACAAGGGCTGGAGGCAGCAAAATGTGAGATGGTGATGCCAAGTGGGAACCACTGCCACAATGAATCCTCAGGCAGGAGGACCTGAAATTCTGTGTGCAAAGGTGGTGAAAAAGGCAGTGTGGTCCTGAGCTCATAGGGGAATAACTAAAGCTAAAGGCAGAGTTGAACGACCACAGATGCATTCTGATTGGACCTGGGGCAGAGGAGCCCAGGGCCCTGGGAAAAAACCCGGGCAAAGCCATGTGGAAATATCAGTGTGATGGGCACATGCTTTTTGCCACAGAAAACCTAAAAAGAAATTTTTGTGCGATGCTGAGGCAGGAAACTGATCTTGAGAAACTGCTTTGATGAAAAATATCAGATGTCTTGCACGCTTAGATAGTGAGCCCCCAGGCTGGTCTAGAACCAGTCATTGCTTTGAATCTGCTAGTCATCTTAAGAGAAGTGTCAACTTCATTCAATTGGAAATCACATTGTATTCTTCCGCAGCATGATTAAGAGTAAGTGAGAGCCAGGCGTGATGGCTCACACCTGTAATCCCAGGACTCTGGGAGGCCGAGGAGGGTGGATCACCTGAGGTCAGGAGTTCGAGACTATCCTGGCCAACATGGTGAAATCCTGTGTCTACTAAAAATACAAAAATTAGCTGGGGGTGGTGGCGGGCGCCTGTAATCTCAGCTACTTGGGAGGCTGAGGCAGAAGATTCACTTGAACCCTGGAGGTGGAGGTTGCAGTGGGCCGAGATCATGCCACTGCACTTCAGCCTGGGTGACAGAGACTCCACCTCAAAAAAAAAAAAAAAAAAGCAAATGAGATGCAAGGCTGAGGTTAGGCACAGCTAACTGTTTTCCCTGCAGGAAATAGTGAAGCCCTAGCAGAGCACTGCGCTTCCCCCAAGCTCCTCATTAATCATTCAGGCTCACCTGGACATTTCCAGATCAAATGAGGGCACACTGTTTTAAATGAGGAAAGAATCTGACCTCGTCTAGGAGTTATTTTTTTGTTTGGAAAAAACTGTACTCTGACTCATCACAGTAAAAAAACATTTTCAACTTGCTACTCTTCCACAGCTAAATTGTTTCCATTGGAGCATCTTAACATCCTTAGGCTCCGAAATTCACTGGTATCCAGGTCAGAGGAGGTAGCCTGGAATAAGAAGAACACCAGGATCTGAATGGTGAACATTC